CGAGCCAAACGTTGCCGACCCCTGGTCTAGACTGTAGACACAGTATAGCAATACTCCACAGGAATACTGGAGCTACAACTAAAGTAAAAAAGATTACAGGAAATGTAATGATAAATGAGATATTAATTCTAAAACCAGCAACAGGGTGCTTTTGAATGAAACAGTTTACCTAGAAGGTTTGGTAATTGGGAAACAGTAAATATAAAAAGGTAGTCTGGTGAGGATTGTCTGGACAAATAGAAATTGAGAGATGGATCAGCAGCTTCTCAATTCTCTACACCAAGTCACTGACCACTAATCATAACATTCTCAAATCACTACTGCAAGCTTTGGCAAAAGATTTCTACACGATATTGGAATGAGTATTTAACTCAGGAAACACAATCACAAAAAAAAAAAAGCCTTTGACATATCAACTCTTCAAAACTATACTGTGTTCAGTCACACAAAATTCCATTTTAGTAATCCATAGTGCTATAGCAAGAAACGAAAATCACACAGTGAACCACAATTTGAATGGTACGATAATTTGTTAATAATTTGAATTACAATAATTTTCCCAAGTGAAAAATTTAACCACTCCAGCACCATTCAGAAATCCACAAATAAATTATTTAGGAAAAACATACAGAATATTAAAATGGCACTGGAAAAAACAAGAGCTTCGAAAGAGGCTCCAACTTGCAATGCAGCATTTTGTATGACAGATACATTTTACTAGGAAAATAAGGTTCATTAGTTATATATGTTAACTGAGGGTGGGAAATGAGAGAGGGGAGAATCTGTGTTGGATTTTGATTTTGTTTATGTAGAAGTGCTATTATGTAAGTTTCTGTACGTAGAAATTTGTAAATCAGATCCTGGAAATTGCTCAAGATTGAAATTTAGCAGAAAGAGTGCAGGGTAAGCTGGGTCATTACCAAAACTTTAGCCCATACACACATCATTCCTAGATGCCCTGACTCCAAATTATGGTAAATTCTTGAACAGGTGTGCTACAGGCAAGTAGGGGTTTCTTGTGCCCTCTTCTATGACCAACTACATGTCATTCAACTGATTTGAAAGAAGTCAAAAGGACAAAAAGTAGCGACGTCAGCAGTTTTTATTAAGCAACTTTCTAACACCTGTTTGTTTGGGGCAGTTCCTGATTTAGAAGTGATTGCAAGATGGACATCACAAACTTCTAAAAGCTGAAAACATCATGAGAGGATGATCATTACTTTCTATTAAGTCTGTAAGCGATGAAAAGACAACCTCTATACTTACTATATCTCCTAGCAGCTGCAGACATATTGGGTGAACAAAGCTGTTCAGAAATGACTAAGAAATCCTTAGCAAAATGAACAGCGGCCCAGGCTATATGAGGGATGAAAATATTCCATACTAACACGAAGTAAAGGAAGGAGCATGCTGGAAGAAACATTTTTCATTTAGCCAGAAAGGTAGAGGGCATGAGAAGAAAAGGCAAACCCATACTCCGTTATGCAGGGCCTCCAGCCACAAAAACAAAAATAACATGGATATACAAGTAACTGAAATAAAATATTCAAAAACTGTTTGATGCTTTTACTGACTGAATTAAACTAAGACCTCATTTGCCTTTACAAAAAACTGATCTAAATAAATTAATGTTTGTACTTTGAGATCCCCAAGTGAAAAGCTGAGCTCCCACAAACCCCACTGAAGTCAATGGGAGCGATAGGAGCTTAGCATCATTGAAAGAAAAATAATCAGACCTCCTATTTAGGTGCATAAACATGAATTCAGGAACCTAACTTTATCCCTCTTCTGTATCATTAGTCCCAATTAGTAAGTTTGTCTTTAAAGCTCACTCCTCTGAAGACTTGAGTATTTCCAAGTAGATTTTGCCAAACACACTGTATCTTATATTAAGAGACAGTAATTGTAATTTCCTGATTTGTTTCCTTCTGTGTGATTATTATATAACTGCACTAACTACCAGTGCCTTTGTCAAAGACAGATGTGTAGTGTTTTGCTACAGTATTCTATTTGGCCTATATCCACTCCTTGTGCTCCTAAGCAATTTGCAACGGTTCTATTTTGTGTATAAAATTAATAGGAAGCTAAATTACAAAACCAAACTAAGTTTGAAGCTGCCTATTCTAAAACAGTTTAATATGCTCTTTGATTTCACCATTCAGATGTACAAAATGCCATTCCCCTGCTTTTAGCACCCTCTGCAGGCTAACTGTTTTAATGCAACTGAACATACTATTAGACAAAATATTAAACTACTATTCTCTGTGAAACACATTGCATGTCTTTTAATTACTACATTTTGAACAATTACAGGTGTCAGTGTAACTGCACACTGGGAGTAATGCATTGCTTTCTTTAAAGCGGAGTGGGGAGTCAAACTATGAAAACAATTTCAAACCACAGGATAAATCAAGCAATGTTACTATTTGTCTAGCTGAGTTTGTTATTCCATAGCCACACCAATTGACTTCAAACAGACTTCACGATTCAATACACTTTTTTAATTTGTTGCTACCTGTGGATCCTGCCAAGATGATGATTCAAGCTACCAAGTCACTCAAAAACACAAACAGAACAGTTAGCTTACCATCCCTGTTGGACAACAAACACACTAGGCCGTTAAGGCATGTGTCAGTCACTTCTGAGATGTTGGTTGCACATCTGCCTATAGCCTGAATTGTAGCTGCAGCAAATTGTTTATCTTGGCTTTTCACATAGGTCTGGAGAAAACAGGATTTCCATTAGTAAACACACTGATCTTATTAACTGGAAACTTACCTTATTATCTGTATTAAATAAATGTACTTTAGACTAAATTTAATTTACAAAGCTATATTGCACATTAGAAATTATGCTGCTATCCTGTATTTTTAAGAACTTATTGTCTTGCCAGTTTCTGTCACCTGTGATGACAGAGGCCTGTGACTGCGGGAGAGGGGGGGGGGGAAGGCAATCACCCAAAAGCAGAAGTTAGTTTGAGTGCAAGGCTGAAGGAGGTTGATGAGCTCTCTCTTCAGGGAGGTTTCAGTCCATTTAACTAGCTGCATCTGTAAATCTATGAATAACCAACCTGTCTGAAAAAAGAACTGGTTTCTTTTGGGGAAGTCCAGCCTGAGAACTGGAGGAATGAAAATAGCTGACAGATGAGAGGAAGGACACACACTGTTGACACTACCAACTGCACATCTGGCAAAGATGTAATAGGAAAAATATAGTAGATAACACTTTACTCTATTCCAATTATTTAAAGAATAAATATTTAAAGAAACAGCCTCTGTTTCATTCAAAGAGCATCTTATACAGCAACAGGACTATCGTTTAAAAATTTCCAAGTTCATCTACAGAAAGTTTATAATACATGTAAAATGTTAACAGAATGCAATTTATGCAAGAAGAATACTCTTGAATTGTGCACAAACCTGAAATTCTCGAAGTAGTGTTGATATGTTGGCCTCATTTGCTAAATTTGTCAAGATTTCAAGCTGAAGGAGAGAAGAGATATTTTATTATAAGTTGATTAAAATAAGTAGAAAACATTTTTTAGAAATTATATGCATATTGTATTTTATCTACAAGAAAAAGTATCGCTTAAAACTTAAGAGAACACTTAATAGTTTAGGCAGAAATCTCAAGTACCCTGAAAAGTTAACATCCTCCAGAACCTAAAGAATGTGCTTTCAAAGCAACACAGTAGGACTCAGCCCGGCATTTCCCACTAGCTGTAGCTCTACATAGTGCCACTGTATAACAAGTAGAGCGCAAATGCTTTTGGTGATATGTTTTCCAACATGATGTAGACAAAACAAAGGAAAAAAGAAGCATGGGACATGATTAGGCTGAGGAGTGGGGGGAGAGATAAGGTGCCAGAGAGCAATGAATGAAATTTCCATAACTCATTCTCAAAGCAGCTGTGATCAAGAGTCCTTATTTGAGGGAAATAGGTGCTTCCATAGCATTCATCAAATTCTGTTTTGACAAATTACAGCTCATCCTAAAAAGTCTCTCCCTAATTTTTGGTGAGGAAAAAGATAAATCACTCTTGATATGCTACACCAGTGTGCCACATCAAACGTTTCATGCTTCGAGGCTGTATCAACACTGAAGCACGAAGTTCCCTACATTGGAGGCCTCCAATGCAATCTGAATGCAGAACATAGGCAGAAAGGACCTTTAGCAAGAGAAACAGCTGGTAATATGAACTCAGTAACTGAATGACATGCATCTGGATTTAGAAAAGTTTTGACTAATTGTCTGGTTCTGAATGGAACAACATAAACGGCAGGTGTCCCCAACTTAAAGTGGGAAGTTTGACAGGTCTGCATACTTGAGCACTTGAGTTTTAGGAGTAAGTTTTGAACACTGAGGTTTTTTTAAATGATGTGTAAAACAATTTAGCACTGATTAACTTTTTTGAAACACTACATATTGCATTTAATAGTAATGGTTAGTATTTTTTCTGTCTTCATAGCACTTAATTTAACCACCACCTTGTAAATAATGACAACACTGTGAGAGCAGAATGTCAGATATCCACAACAGATGTGGTGAAATAAAGGAGAGGTTTTATTTTTTGTTTTAATGTAAGTTGTTAATTAAAAACATGACTGAAATACCAGGAATAATACAAGACTAGTATTTACTAGCCGTCCCATTAATAAAGTGCACTTTTCAGAAAGTGTACAGTAACATTTACTCCCAAAATATTTATATATATTAAATATTTATATAAAAAAAGATAGGTTTCTCTCTCTCACCACAATCCCCCCTGCTGCACTCCATTCTCTTGTTTTTATGTACAAGTTTGTTGAAACACCATAGGTCTTACCAAAGATATGAGACCACAAGGGTTAGCCCTCTTCACCTTTTAAAACACTCAGTTATTCCCAGCCTGGCAGCCACCTCCTACTTCTCCTTGCCTTCTTCCTTGGTCTCCTGACAGTGATTTGCTTCTGTATGCAAGTGTCCCTGACTCCTCCCATTTCCCAGCATGCCCAGCAGTTTGCTCTAAAGTGAGGCCGCAAAGCCTTTCCATTTTAACACTGGAGTGGGTCAGAGAAGCCTTAAGTTCTCAATTCACCAGTTTAAACAAAGGCTAGCTTCCTCCATAAGCCCTAAATCTTACAGTTTCAAGTAAGAAGAAAGATTATATTAGGATTTGTTCTCTAGTCTGTCCCCCTAAAATCAGAAACTCTCCAACCACCTAAGACAGAACTAAGTTAAGAAAACTCATCTACCATTCCCTCAAACCTCTGGGCCTTAGTAAAACCTCTGCTGATGAAAAGATGACAAAAACTTGTTAAGAAAAGGAGCCAGAAATATTTAGCATTCCAGTCAATTATTTTATTTATTTTAAAGTTGGAAAAACTAAAACAGCAAGGTTAAGTGACTGTCCCTTAAGCTCCAGGGACAGAGTTCAGATCTACAAATGGAACTCAAGAGTTACAGGTCACAGCAGGCATCTCTCTCCCGGTACAGTGTGTGTACATGGAAAGACAAACAAATTATATCACTATGTACTCCATAAGTCCTAAATTTGAGTCCTAAATTTTGTGGTCATCTCTGCACAGAAAAGTGAAGTTCTGGACAATCCTAAAATTGACATCTATTCCCAAATTTCTCATACACAGACAGTGTGACTGTATCTCAAATTTCCTGAATTATAAAATGGGAATAATAATACTTTCCCCCCATCATAAAGCATTGAGATCTTGAAGTGAAAAGCAAAGCATATCTGCTACTTATATCAAGTAACTCTGTGTGGACACCTCTTCGGATAGAAAGAGAGCCATTGCTACCTTACACAACATTTCCATTCAGCATATTCAGTTAGCCTGCTGTACCTGGAAAATCACCCATTTGCCTGCCCCAAAGGCCATCTGTAGAAATCAGATTGAAAAAGCAGAATAGTTCAGAGACACATGAGTTTCACAGCAGTCAAAGAGTATGTTACTTTCCTGTTAGAAATACTAACTAATCATACAGTGTATACATGAAATATATATATATATTATGTATTATAAAACACACCTTTGATGTTTTGATCATCGTTGGATCAGTTGACCTAACATAGAAACTCTTCAGGTAAGGTTCAAACATGCCCTGAAAAATAAAAGCCATTGAAGAAGTAGTTGTGCCTATGCTTAATTTAAAGTACAATCTAGAAAATGCAAAGCAAGGTATACCTTTCTTTGAATTGACATAGTTGCAATATTCTGCAGAACAATATACTGCACTTCCCTACAAATCAAAAAGAGAGAGTACTGTTGAATATATTTATCAAAATCACATATTTGGAGAACAGTATATTAAAAGCAAAAAAAAAAATTCAGACCAAAAGGATGCACTTGCATGTATTGCTGAAAGGTTTTTAGCTGAATTTTCAATAAATATCTATGCATAAAAACTACCATGTATATTTGACTTATAAAATATATTTGAGTATGCCAAAGAAACAAGAAAAAGTTGAAGCATGACAGCTATTACATGTCACTCATCAGTTTTATAGCAAGATGCAGCACAAATTTAGGACTGTCACTTTTAAAAGGCAGACAATGTGGGTGAAGTAATATCTCTTATTGGACCACTTCTGTTGGTGAAAGAGACAAGCTGAGCTCTTCTTCAGGTCACCCACCTTCTCTATAAAATCCTGGGACCAACACAGCCTAAAACAACACTGCATACTTTTAAAAGGAAAATATTACTTTTTAATGTAATGATGCAGCCTTTGTTTGACATAGGGCTTTCCTCAAACAAAACGAAAAAATGAAGGATTTATTTAGGAGTTTTGAAGCTAGCATTGCAAGACATACAGCAAACCAGAAACTCAAGAAGGTCCCATATATTTCTAGATAGTGAGACTAAAAAGAAAATGTTTACTCTTTGTCTGCACTACAGAAACTACTGTGGTAGATAACCATTTGGCTTCACCTAATATTTGTGCTGTTAAATGTGGGATGGACAATACTTGACAACTAACAGGTGTTTTAAAAGTAGTTTTCCAAGGATAATTATCAAAAAAGTGAGTGGTTTGGGGTGTATTCTGCTAGTCCCAGGTATCTGTCAGAGGGCTGTGTGCATATTCTGGTAAACTGTAGACCACTACAAAAATATAAATATTTATCTAGCACAAATATATAAGCCTCAGATTATGATGTACAGTTACATGTAATTTAAAACTGAACGGCAAACTGTTTAGCAAGTTCTGTTTGAAGTTCAACAAAAGAGCTTGACCCACCTATTGCTACGAAGTAAACGCACTAAGGATTTAGAAACAATGCCAGCTTCAGATTTTGGTGCCAAGTGCCAGTAAAGCTGGGCAACTGCCATCACCACCTGAAAATACAATGTTAACATGCAGAACAATCTGCTACCTTAAAATAACTACACAATGCTCTACTTTCAAGCTGCAAAATTACACACTCATTGCTTGTACAAAAATTTAAATTTCTATTTTTGCATATGTAATCTTTGATACCAAGGGGTTGATTGAAAAGCCAGGATATATTTTCATTTCTGAATTATAATCTAATGAATAACTTACATTCCTATCAGTAATAAATAAATAAATAATAAGCAGATGTAGCTAAAGTTCTAATCAAACTGATATTTTAAGAAACCAGAACTTACAGCCTTATCAGTACAAATGAATGAGAAAATTCCCTCTCTTTAAATCTATATAAAGCTTTTTATTTTTATTAAATCTAGCTCCAGCAATAGCTGTTCATTAATTAGTTTTAAACAGTAATACCATCACCAAAAACCTTTTCCTATTACCATATTAATCAAGCTATACAATGGTATTTGCATTTAATAATGACCTACAGGGACGTAAAACAACAAAAGGAAACCTGTAGGGTTATGTGCTTGTGAGCCAAGTAACAAAATGTAAGAGATCGTAAAAAAACCACAATTGATTTTTAAAACTTAATAGGTCCTCCTCCTGGAAACAAAGCTAATGTTGTAGCAATATTTTAAAAAGGGAACATGGGATGACTCTTAACTACAGGTTGGGCAGCCTAATATTCTGAACAAAACCATGAAAGGGCTCATAAGGGATGCAGTTTGGCAAGAATTAAAAGAATGACCACCTCAAATTGAACATGAGCCAACAATGTGATGCTGTTGCAAAAAAGGCTATTATTCTGGGGTGTAGTAACAGGAATGTCTTATATAAGACACAGGAGGCAATTGTTCCACTCTGCTTAGCAATGGAGAGGCCTCAGCTGTGTCCAGTGTTGGACACCATACTTTAAGATAGATATGGACAAATTAGAGATAGTCCAGAGGAGAGCAATAAAAAGTGACAAAGTTTAGAAAACCTGACCTATGAGGAAAGGTTTAAAAAACTGGGCGTGTTTAGTCTTGAGAAGACGACGACTGATGGAAGACCTCATAAGAGTTTTAAATGCATTTAGGTCTGTCGTAAAGAAAATGCTGATCAATTGTTCTCCATGTCTACTGAAGATAGGACAAGAAATAATCTGCCACAAAGAACATTTAGGTTACATATTAAGAAAAAAAATTAACTTATACAGATAGTTAAGCACTGGAATAGATTCCCAAGGGAGGTTGTGGAATCCTTGTCACTGGAGGTTTTTAAGAACAGGTTAGATAAAAACACCTGTCAGGGTGGTTTAGGTATTCGTTGCTCTGTCTCAAAGAGGGGGTTTGGACTAAATGACCTTTCGAGGTCCCTTCCAGCCCTACATTTTTATGATTCTATAAACACCAATCACCATGATTTTATGGTCTTATCAAATAAACTTGATATTTCTGATGCTATTACAAATTCAATTGATAAAGGTAATAATGTTGACATAATATACTTTGACTTAGTGCCACAGTATATTTTGATTAAATAATAAACGCTATACAAAATGAATGTAGAACATATTAAATGGACTAAAAACGGCCTAATTGATAGATCTCAAAAAGTAAATATAAATGAGCAATCATATAATGTATTTCTAGTGGAGTCCCCAGGGATCTGTTCTTGGCCCAAAATATTCAATATCTTTATCAATGATACAGAAGAAAATATCATTGCTGGTAAAGTTTGCAAAATTGGTGGAATGGCAAATAATGAGAAAAACATTAAGTATTCAGAGTGGTGTGGATCGTTTAACCTGGGTTCATCTGAATATGAGTTTTAATACTGCCAAACGCAACCGAGAACATAGGTCACATTACACAAGCAGACAGTCATTTGGAAAACAGCAACTTTGAAATAGACTTAGGGATCATGATGGATAACCAACTGAACATGATCTCGCAGAAGCTAAGAGACCTAATATAATCTTTGGATATATAAGCAGGGGAATATGTAGTAGAAGTAGAAAGGTGGTATTATCAAGCTATTCGGCATTACTGAGACCATTACCAGAATACTGTTTTCAGTTCTAGTGTCCACACTTGAAAAAGACGTTGGCAAATTGGAAAGGATTCAGAAAAGAGCTACAAATGATTTGAGGCTCAGAACATATGCTTTACAGCGAGAGACTTATTTAGTTTATCTAAGAAAAGGTTAAGAGGTGACTTGATCATGGTCTATATGTACCCGAGCAAGAAAAGAGTTCTCCACTATCTAAAATCTTATCTAGATAAATGTCCAATTGCTGAAGTTGGACAAATTTAGACTAGAGCTAAGCAAATATAATTAGCTATTTGAACAATTTACCTAGTGATGTGGTAGACTCTCCATCACCTGAAGCCAGTAAATCAAGACTGGATGTCTTTCTAAAAAAAAGATCAGTTCTAATACAAGTAGAAATTATGGTCTGGCAGAAATTAATGGGTATAATTCCATGGCTTGTGTTATGTAGGAGATCAGACAAGATAATCATAATGGTTTCTTTTGACCTTAAAGATTTATGCATTTATGAAAATTCAGATCTTTTAATCTAGCTCCCAGAGACATTCAGCATGTACTATGCAGATGATGTTTTAGCCACCTCAGAATTCTGCTGGGAGACTGAACCTAGGACTCACGCTGGGATATTCAAAGGATTTGGGTGTTTTACTCCTCCAGGATCCTTTGAAAATCCCCACCTCAGAGAAAAGTGCCATCTAATAAATCACAAGCACCTACAGTTTTCCTTGAGAGTCTTCATCCACATATTAACAGGGTTTGTCTCACCAGAGCTTCTGAAAACTGGTAAGCTAAACAACCTGAAGTGCTATGGCAGCAGTCATATACTGTATTGCCTAATTCTCCTCTTAATATTAAGAACAGGTAAGCAGCACATAACATGGCTGTTCAGGACTTTTAGTATTAAATTACTTTTCCACTTTTAAGGGCATGCAGTTGAGAACTGGTTACTTTTAGTTAGCTACAACAGTACTATTGTGCAACTACACAATTCTGCATGGTATTTTCTATACATATTCGGGGGGGCATACTCTACATCTGGATGCTCTAAATACTTGATTAAAACATTTTAGAAGGGTGGACACTTAGCAGTTCAAGACACAAAGGTTTTTGTCATACAGCAGCATTCCGGCTTTGCAACAAGGGCTTTGTATTTCGTATCAGCAATCTATGGTCTGGATCCATAGCATAGGGTTTCTTCACTTTCTGATCCTTTTCTTTCTGTTCTTCATCAGACTCATAGAAATCCTTCTCATTGTCCTCTTCCAAAACACCATCCTAAGAGAAAATATTTACATCAAAGACTTGAATTAACCAGTTTTATAAAAAAGCATCTATAACAAAACAATTTCAAATGAAAATGAATTATTTTACAACATTTTTTAAATAGCTTTTTCCCCTATTTTGCTCAGTCCACCTAGTCCAGAATGTAAGAACATATAATCTCAACAATATACTCTAAAGTGAAGCATATTTGGAAATAAGTTTTCAATTATTGAGTGAAATTGTATGACTGATGTTATGTACTGTAGGTGATTAGACTAGAAGATTATAATGGTCACTTCTGGACTTTAAGTCTATGAATTACAGTTGGCATTTCTGAAAATGAACTTTAGCGGTTTAAACTTAATGATATTTGAGGATGTAAGGCACTGATGCTACAAAAGGAAGGTGAAAGGTGGTCCCAGTAATTTACCTACTCACAAATGCAGACAACTACAGTCAGATAGAGGAAGGATGGTCTTATGCCCCAGTCACTACACTGGAATTATGAAGATATGAATGTGTTCCTGTCTCTACTACAGATTTTGAGATGTGTAGGTCAAGTTATTTAGTCTCTGTGCCTTAACTCCCTAACAGAAGAATACTGATCTGACCAGGAGAATTGTAAAAATGTATTAAAGGTTCTGAGATGCCAAGAGACCTGGCTAAACTTTAAAAGGCTCAGATTCAAGAAAAATATCTGATTTAAAGACATTGTTTAGTTATCAACTTGTTCTTTGTATGATTTTTACCTGTACTGAAGAACAGAAAATAATTTTACAAATCTTTCATTGAGTGCACATTCTGACAATGCCAAAACAGGCCTTTTAATAATAAATAATAATAATAAAGTCAAGATGGATACCATCAGTATTAGATTTTAAAACATTAGGCCAGATCCCAATCTGGGGTGTAAATCCATGTACTTCTATTGAAATCAATGAAACTAGGCCAATTTATATCAGGTCAGGATCTGGCCCCTTCTTTACAATTAGGTTTCATTTTCCAAACACAGTCCACAATCCAGATACAGAAAAATATATTTCAGTTAAGCAACTTACTTTCTAACTTTTAAAGATTACAAGGCTAAGCAAAATGAGTCACATGTTTTTTTAAAGGACCATTTCCTATGTATAACCAATAGAAAGCATAGTCACATACAGAAAAGGTACCCACACTGTGGGACTCAATCACTCTTGAGACCTAGTTTTTATCTGCATTATGAATCCTATCTGGTTCATAGGAAACAGTTATTTTAACCACACTAAGCTGACACTTGGCATACAAAGTAGCCATCCTTCATTTGTTGTTGTAGTAAATGACATTAATGGCCATATGATAATGAAAGGTACTCAGTTTATATTCTGTGCATGCTTTAAAGTTTCAAAAAACCCTGTTGGGGTTGGTGGGCATTTGTTAGTTTGTTTTGCAGTTTTTTTTTTTTTTTTTTTTTTAAGAAATGTACAGAGCTGGGGTCATATGGTGCATCAGTCATTGGGACTTTCTAGGCAGTGGAGGATACTGACAGACCCTTGGCACATGGCTTTAGAAGTCTGTCAGTTTCAGGATTAGGAAGGAATTTCCGTATTATTCTTATCATTTGTACTGCAGTAGGTCCTACAGACCACACCAATAAAGGATGAGGGGCCCATTAGCTCCAGTGAAAAGGAACGCAGCATGCAGAGCACCCATGGCCACACCTGCGCCTAGGGGCTGGAGGGACATGCTGTACACTTCTGGGAGCCACTGCGGCCAACCAGACTTTTAGCAGCCCAGTCAACTGTGCTGACCGGAGCAGCCAGGGTCCCTTTTCAAGGGGGAATTCTGGTCGAAAACTGAACGCCTGGCAACCTTATCCCCCAACTGGGGGCAGCAGGGCTTGGCGGGCTCAGATTTTAGTCCCCCCTGGAGTCGTGTAATAATTTTTGTTGTCAGAAGGGGGTCATGGTGCAGTCATGTTTGAGAAATCCTGGACTAGAGAGTTAGGATCTAAACTTAGCTTCCAAAAAACAAATATTCCAATTCAACGGGCTGACCAGTCAGCGAAATCTTTCCTGTAGTACTCTAGCAATGAGGGATACTGTTTCTTATTATGGGTTTGGTTTTTTTAATTAACTACTGATAAAGTAGTTTCTCTGTACAAGGTGCTACTGAGGACTTAAGGGCATTAAATCAAGCACTCAGCACTTCGTAAGATTGGCCCCAACTTTGTGTTGCTGTTAACACCAGAACAAAGAGGGTGTAAAAATGTTCCCGAATTATGTTAGCATTTTTACACACACTTCGCTCTAGTATAAATCAGGGGTTACATACATAAGAACGGCCGTACTGGGTCAGACCAAAGGTCCATCTAGCCCAGTATCTTGGCTGCTGACAGTGGCCAATGCCAGGTGCCCCAGAGGGAGTGAATCTCACGAGTAATGATCAAGTGATCTTTCTCCTGCCATCCATCTCCACCCTCTGACAAACAGAGTCTAGGGACACCATTCCTTACCCGTCCTGGCTAATAGCCATTAATGGACTTAACCCTCCATGAATTTATCCAGTTCTCTTTTAAATGCTGTTATAGTCCTAGCCTTCACAACCTCCTCAGGTAAGGAGTTCCACAAGTTGACTGTGCGCTGCATGAAGAACTTCCTTTTATTTGTTTTAAACCTGCTGCCCACTAATTTCATTTGGTGATCTCTAGTTCTTGTATTATGGGAATAAGTAAATAACTTTTCCTTATCTACTTTCTCCACATCACTCATGATTTTATATACCTCTATCATATCCCCCCTTAGTCTCCTCTTTTAGAAGCTGAAAACTCCTAGCCTCTAATCTCTCCTCATATGGGACCCATTCCAAACCCCTAATCATTTTAGTTGCCCTTCTCTGAACCTTTTCTAGTGCCAGTATATCTTTTTTGAGATGAGGAGACCATATCTGTACGCAGTATTCAAGATGTGAGAGTACCACTGATTTATATAAGGGCAATAATATATTCTCAGTCTTATTCTCTATCCCCTTTTTAATGATTCCTAACATCCTGTTTGCTTTTTTGACCACCTCTGCACAGTGCATGGACATCTTCAGAGAACTATCCACGATGACTCGAAGATTTTTTTCCTGATTTGTGGTAGCTAAATTAGCCCCCATCATATTGTATGTATAGTTGGGGTTATTTTTTCCAATGTGCTTTACTTTACATTTATCCACTTTAAATTTCATTTGCCATTTTGTTGCCCAATCACTTAGTTTTGTGAGATCTTTTTGAAGTTCTTCACAGTCTGCTTTGGTCTTAACGATCTTGAGCAGTTTAGTATCATCTGCAAACTTTGCCACCTCACTTTTCACCCCTTTCTCCAGATCATTTATGAGGTTCTCAACCTTTTTCTTTCTGAGCCCCCACACAACATGCTATAAAAACTCTACGGCTCACCTGTGCCACAATAACTGTTTTTCTGCATATAAAAGCTGGGGCCAGCCTTAGGGAGTAGCAAGCAAGGTAACTGCCTAAGGCCCCAGGGGCCCCGCAAAGCTACTTTGCTCAGCTTCGGCTTCAGACCCAGGTGTTGGGGCTCAGGGCCCCAAGCTTCAGCCACATGTGGTGGGGCTTAGACTTGGAAGGGTCCTGGGCAGAAAGTCGAACACTGGCTCTGCTTGGCAGACCCCCTCTGAAACCTGCTTGCAACCCCCCCATGGGGCCCCAGACCCCTGGTTGAGAACCACTGGTATAAATGACAATCGCAAAGTGTGGGGTAAATACAAATCATATCATCTCTAATGTAAATTAACCAGGATACTCATGCTATTACTACTAGAATTTTACTCCCTTAAAAACTATTACTTAAGAAGTTATCTAGATATGTATATCAAATTCATCACAATCATAGAATTCCATGAAAAGATAAATAAGAAATCTACACACACACACACACACGATATTAACTGAACCTTTTTTGTTTGGAAAGAAACTGCTTCACTATGACAAAAAAAAGTTGAGACATAAAAGTTGGAAAAAGCTTAAAATCTATCTTCCATTTTTGAAAATGTAATTGTATCCTCCTTTTTGTAGTGTATATAATATTTATATAACTACACTTTAAGTGAAAAGATTTATTGATATTTAAGCAATTTACAATAAAACATTTAAATAGTGTCTTGACATGTTTAAGTACACATCTTAATACAAAATTAACAATACTGAGCAGTATATTGTTATATTACAGTTTTTCCTTTTTTCAAGTTATCTAAATAAAACCATATATTAAATTATGTATATTTAACCATTCATATTAAATTTTAAAATCTTTTTTGGGGAAGCTGAACATTTTCTTTGGGAGAGAAGGAAGAGAGGACTCAACTGAGGTGATAGAAAGTATGTGAAATTAGACATGGGGGAATATAATTCAGTATTGTCTTTTATGTATACCCTTCTTAATTATCCATTGTTCCCATAAATACAAAATTCTAGTGCCCTTATCAAAAAATAAATAATTTCAGTATTTCTGTTAGTATACCAGGTACAGGAAAACAATCACTTTTATCCATTTTTTTTTTTTGTCTGTCTGTCTTGCACTGTTCTTAGAATATCTAATGAAGGAAGACTTTACATATATTGTAGCAGTAGTTTTTTCCAGTGATCTACAGTAGGAGCCTTTGCCTGGGTCCACAGATTGAAGACTGTTTTTTGTTTGTTTGGTTGGTTTTTGTTATAAAGTGCAAGAAGAATAGTTTCCTTATTCCTGGCTTAAGTCTTTAATTGGCCAACTCCCAATACACATCTTTAAATCCTGTTTAAGTTCTATCTCTAGTAGTTTATTATTATTTCTTTCTTCATCTAACATTCCCATGTTTATAAAAGAGGGCCTGGTCGTTTTGCATTTCATACAGACATCTCGGCAATATTATATATTTTATTACACAAAGAGGAGAAACCTACATTTTGTAGTACAAAAGGTGCAAGTTCAGTATTATCTGATTAGTACTAGAGCCAATATTGATAATCTGAATGACCTCAGTCCACTCTTCTG